CTTAACATTCACACATGAATGTACGCCAAAACCCAACTTCAACAAGCTGAGCTTTCGGCGAAGAAAAAGGGGGGCTATGTGGAGGTCAGGATATGGAGATTCAGGAAGCACAAACACACGTACATAAAGAGTCAGATCCAAGGGATATGTGATAATAGATCACTGTTGGTCCCAAGGGGTCGTGACCCTACAGATTCCCAACGGCTGCGAATAGTTGATGAATCTTTAGGAGGATGGAGAAATGAGTCCACGAAGGCTCACCCCCACTCTCCGCACCACCCTAGCTTGACTGAGTTCGCTCGGTCACGCTTGGCATTCCTCGCCACATTGCACCAAAGGAAATAGCCAACCTCCGGTGGTAGGACATAGCCACCACAACCCCGGACTAATTTGGCGGTGTTCTTGATTGGCAAGCGGAAAAATTGTCGTTTAAAACACAAAAACCAAAATTCCGTCCACCCACCGTAAAACGCGCTACCCCACGACCGATCACGAAAACAGCATGAACTGTTCTGTGGTAGCAGTTGAGAGGGACACACTTGCAGTGCCAGTATACACTACCAGAAAATGCTGCATACCTGCGCAACATGAAATAGCTGTCGAAATTCATTCGCTGGAAGCGCCAAATGAAACCACAGCTGCCGTTGTTGAACCACGCATCGTGACTTTCGATGACGTTAACACCAAGCAGGATACGCCACAGGCATTCCAGAGGGTAATAGTAGCACGCGCGGTCTGTCACTGGTATAAGCACAACAAAAGTGCAATGGAACAACTGGCCAACCCTTCTCACAGACAGGCATCCCTGAAGAGAAATACACTTATAGGCTATATCTCTCCGGTGAAAACGGTACTACTGACTGCCACAAACAATGAGCAGCGTTCAATCGAGCCCGAAAGAAACGGAAAAAAACCGTACAGATCTCAAGAAGGCATTAGCCAAAGCTTTCAGAGATACAACCTTTTTGCCCGACCAGTGTGAAGAAATACTTAAACTATGTACCAAATACCGTTGAGTATTCTCCCTGAGTCCTCAAGAACTGGGCAAATGTACTCTCACAGAGGCTGATTTTCCATTGCAACCAGGAACAAAACCAGTCAACAGAGCTCCATATCGTGCAAATCCACGAATGCAAGAGGTTATTGACAAAT